TTGAGGATGATTAAACACATGCTTTCACCACACTATCTGCTCAGCTCTCATGCGTCAACTGAAGTTTGTAAAAGTATTTTATACTTGTGTGCAATGTTGTCAAACTCGAGTTTTTACGTAGAAACGGAAATGAGTGGTAGAAACGTAAAACGTAAAAACGACACGAAACGTAAAGTTTCTACATTATACTACTTAAGATCAAGATATAAAATTATATATATATATATATATGTAAAAAAAATATCACATAATAAAGATGTGTGTTGAGCCACTTATCTATCTAAAAAGGAAAATTATTTTTGATAACCAAATATCAAAATTGTAAACAGTGATAACTAACAAGTAATGGATAACCAATCTGTTCTAACTGCTTCATACACTCTGCAATTTTGGATCATCGCTCATCAGGATATAATTTCACTTCTTTCAATGCACACAATGATTCAAAAACACAAAATAATTCTCATAGCATAACTTATAATAGAATTGCAGTTTTATAAGACATAATTATAAAAGACATATAACCAAACAAAAAGATATGAAGATATGTGCATGTGATTTGAGGAAAACGAAAATTGGGTTTTTTTTTTAATTTCTTTTTTTGTAAATCTTTATTTTAAAAAAATATCGTTTTAAGTAAAAACGGTCAAAACGGTAAAAACGTAACGTTTTTACCGTTTTGACCGTTTTTACACGGCGTTTTTACCAGTTTTTATCAAGGACCATTTTTACTTGCGTTTTACCACGCACCACTCTAGTAAAAATGTAAAAACGTAAATTTTTACGTTTTTACACTAGTTTTTGACAACAATGCTTGTGTGGATGTATCTCATTTTCAAGCGTTTCTTTCGTGGTCCGGGAGTGTAACACCCCGTATATATCCGGTAATGTTATCATACTATCGTATTAAGCAGCGCTTAATTAAAAATGCGGAATATCTTTTTCTTTTCAATTATGATGTCATTATCATTACCAACTTGCTTATTAATCAATTAATAAAACATCGCCTGTATGTAATTGCAACAAAACAGCTATCTGAAAATACCTCTTAACATAGATAAATAAAGTGTGGCTCTAGTCACGGAACTACAACAACGTAGACCGGACCATCTAACAGTTTATACAACTCCAAATCAAAAGCACTAACATAAAGTGTCATGGACAATCGACATGCTCACTCAAATAAGGCAACACGCCCAACATCAGTCTTAACAACAACATAGACATAAATAGCGGAAAACATAAACAACATCCATATCCAGTCATGGCAGCAAACAGCATAATATCATCAACTAAGCTCTGGCCTCCTGCCGCCAGAGGCATCAGTCACCAAACTACTGGAACCTGAAATAAGCATTCCCCAAACGTGGGGTGAGATCTCTAAACAAGAAATCTCAGTAAGACAAGGGGTCCTCAAGGATCTTCCACCCCAAGCTCACTTACATGTGCAATATAAGTTTAAAAGCAGATATCATCATCAGTTCTAAAATAGTGCAATGCAGCAGATAATCATGCCATGTGTGTCAATTCTATTCTACTGGCCAGAGAAATGCAGGATTTACATACGCTAAATACCCACACTAGTGCAAGACGCTACTTGCATTCACCTCGGATCACCATCTCGTATGACGCCACATACTCAGGTTTACCGTCAAGATGAAACAACACATGCATATTAAAAGCCATTACACATAAAGCTCAACAACATTTCAAATATTCAAAGCATGTAACACAGCATGCATACAACCATACCCCCATGGGACATGGTGGAACCACAACATTGCTAAACCGAGGACACGAAAGCTTACCTTGCAAGCTAACTCCCAAAGCCAAGAGTCCACAGCTCAAAGTCCAAACACAGCAGATTCACAATCTGTTATGGAGCAATACTATATCAATAATAATGCACCACAAGCATATAACTTAAAGACAACGCCTTTCCTTACGTTTTACGTCTTAAGGCTCCATACCAAGCCATAAGTCCTTAATCACAACGATTCTGACTTAGTCCAATACATACAGAAGTTCAACTTCATCAAACTGGGGTCCACAAACCCCCAATAGCCTACTATGCACACAACACAGCTACTGCTCCACAAAATCTCAGAATATCCGGATATTCCTCGGGACCATATCCGGATATCTAATATCCGGATATCTCACTGGACATATCCGGATATGCAATATCTGGATATCCAGAATCCCATATCCGGATATCTAATATCCGGATACTCAAAACCCATATCCGGATATCACATATCCGGATATTCCTCGGGCACATATCCGGATATTTCACGACAGAATGCAGAAAATGCATTTCGTGAAGATATCCTTCCAAGGTTCCATTTTTAACACTTAATTACGTTAAAGCATGTATCTTTATACTGATTAAGGTCCACACCCCAGTTGGTTACATGATTAACCCATTAAACATGCAAAGATCACACCTTTAACCCATTAAAACACAAGCTCAAGGTAGATACAACTCACCAAGGCTCAAAACAGAGGCAAAGGGTTGCTCTTGGAGCTCACAACCAGCTCTCAAACTCTGACTTGGAAGAGTGCAGAAAATACACAACAAGGTGGTTCCTTTCTTCACAAGGATGACCACTTGGAGCCTCACAAGCCAAGAACAAGACTCCAACCCCCACAAACAACCCAAAACAGCAGCTCCACCCACCAAGGTCAGCACCCTCAACTCAGAAAAATGCCACCAACACACTCCCGAAGACCACTCTCACTCAACACAAGTGTTTAGGAGAAGAAACCAAGGAGAAAGGAAGCTCCTTGGCTCACCACAAAGGAGGAGAAGGTGGCAAAGGGTGGCTGGAGGTGTTTCAGAAAATGGAGGCACGTAGTAAATCTGATCTAGGGTTTTGTGCCCAATGATTAGAGTATTTATAGCCACTTACCCAATTAACACACAATATTAACTTTAATTGCTACGCTTAGCATTTTAATCCCAAACTTTGGAATCTGAAACTACATAATTTTCTAAGAATTATCATATTTTTATTATATTTTTATGAGCACCTTTCCGGTACGCGCTTTTCCAAGCCAGTACCGGTTTCTAGCACCAGTTCTCATTATTTGGACTTGAAACTCGTTTTACAAGTCCTACATATCATTCTAGTAATTATCAAGCACTTATTATAATTTTCCAGGATACTTTTTCGGTACACATTTATACCAACTAGCAGAACCGGTATCTGCACTTTTCTTCCGAAAAGCGACTTTCAGCATCATTACTCACTTACTATAATTATTAAAGCCTCATAATAATTATTAGGGTCAATTATGAAATCATTTCTTATTTTCTCATAATTTATTAATTAAATTCCTTAATTAACGGTGCAGGTTCTTACAGGGAGCATGGTGCTTCCTGTCAAAAGTGAAAAATAAAAGGGGATTAAGAGAGAAATATAAGAAAATAGAAGGGTTTAAGAGAATTTTTTTTGGGTTTTATAAGAGTTATGTTGTAGGAAAAGTGATTGTGTAATGTTATAGAGATTCGTTTTGCGTGCCTTAGCTTTTTTTTTTGCTTCAAAAAGTGCGGGCCCCACAAAATGTTGTGTGAGTAGAAAATTTTTTTGTGTCATATTGCATGATGAGAATAAATCTTTGGTACTACTGTTGTACCAAAGATTCAGTGCATCCGACCAATGAAAATATTACATGTCAGCTAAAATATTTTTTTTTCTGTCAATTTTTTTTTCTCTCATCTGATATGTAAGGTTCTCATTTATGAGATGCACTGAATCTAGGTACAACAGTAGTACCAAAGATTTATTCGCATGATGAATGCAAACCCCATTTTTTTTACCAAAAAATTTGATAATCCTCCAACATATTAAAAAATTCCCTCATTTTCTGCAATTTAACTTTGGAAAATATTACTCTCCTTTCACATAAGATAACTTCTCTCATGTTCTATCACTTTGATTTTCGCATCCTATTTTTTCCTTTTTTTTTTCTTTTTTCTTATAGTGGTGGGATCCACCTATTTTCTCTCTACAACATAAGATACCCATATTACGTGGAAGGAAACTAATAAAACCTTTTAACTTTAGGGTGAATCATTTTACGCAAAAAAAAAAAAAAAAAAAAAAAACTCTAGGGTGAATCTCACTATTCCAACAGGACCACGACCACCTCTGCTATTGCTGACAAATAATCACGTCACCAATGCGTGGATTAAAATTCATCATTCTGAATTTGCCAACTCGATCGCATGCCTTCCTTCACAGACAAGCAAAGCAATGAGAACATCACCATCCAATCGATCAATACATGGCATGCATGAGCATATGAAATGAATGGTTTTACTAATGAACCAACATCACCACACCTTTGTGCTAGTGGTGGTGCACCAAGTGTGTTTATATTTCCTTGTTAAATCAAACACATATTCTTAATTAATCAATTTAATCATGGTTTTTGTCAGCACCGCTTTATACAACGCGTGGAATAGCTTATGATTTAATCACTGTTAATTAATATATATAAAGTTTGTATATTATAATAAGGCAAAAAAGTATCTACGTGACTTTTAGACAATTTTGTCTAATAATCACTAAAATGACGTTATTTTAAGATTAAAAAATTTAAAAATTAAAATGATAAACATTATTATTACTCTGAAATAAATTAAAATTATAAATACACGGTGATTTCTGCTTCAAAACAATGTCATTTCGATAAACATTAAACAAAATTATCTAAAGTAACTTACTTATAATAAAGCAAACAATGTCCTTATAATAAAAGTTTGACTATTAGTAGGACCCTATTTACTAGAATTATGTTTTAGAACCATTAATTGCAGAATATGTGCCTTAGATCCTGTAATAAAGCTTTTGCATCTTATACCATGTAATCATTTCAAGACCATAGTGTGGTTCATTTTGATCTTATAATAGAGCTTCTGAAAAGTATATCACATATCTGATTTCATTTCTATATAAGCCAGCTTAACTCACACCCATTATTCAAGACAAGAGAAAAATGTTTTTAATAAAGACCCTTTGGCTTTTGTGTGCAATTTTCTCCCTCAATGTTGCAATAACATTGGCCTCTGACCCTGATCCAGTTCAAGACTTTTGCATACCAAACCCAAGATTTGGTTCCATCAGAACAACTCACGGCATGGTAACCATTCTCCCATGCAAGAATTCCTCTGAGGCTACCATTGATGACTTTGTCTTTCATGGTATGAAAGTTGCAGGGAACTTCTCAGACACAGGCCTAGCTGTGATAGCTGCAAGTCCTACCAATTTTCCTGGCCTCAACACACTAGGCATGTCCTTTGCAAGAGCAGATATTGAAGTGGGGGGCATCAATCCACCACATTTTCACCCAAGAGCCACTGAACTAGTTCATGTGATACAAGGAAAAGTGTATTCAGGTTTTGTGGATTCTAGCAATAGGGTGTTTGCTAGGATACTAGAACAAGGAGAGATCATGGTGTTTCCAAGAGGTCTAGTGCATTTCCTGATGAATGTTGGTGATGAACCTGTCACACTATTTGGAAGTTTCAATAGCCAAAACCCTGGCATCCAGAAGATACCTTCTGCTGTATTCGGTTCAGGGATTGATGAGGAGCTTTTAGAGAAGGCTTTTGGACTTAGTTCTAAGCAGATTGGAACCATGAGAAAAAAATTTGATCCCAAAACAGCAAGGTAGATCACTTAATTAAGGTAGTCCTGTTGTCCATTATCTTTCAGAGTTTGACTCATATCTTGGGGTTTTTTTCTTCATTCTTTCTTTGTTTTCAAGAGTTTTTAACCCACTTTTAGTGTTTGCATATGTCTCTGTGTGTGTCACTGTAATAGTACAACTACATCATTATATAAGTGAAGAACGGAACGCAACTTTGTTACATTAACTTTTCTCTGAAACTGTGAAGCATCAAATAATCACTTCCCCTCTCCCCTTAATGATATTTATTAAAAAAGAAAGAAAACAAGATAATTAAGATTGAGGTGATGATGCTTTGGAGGTTGTGTTCAATGTTAAGCAGATGATGATGATTGATGACAATGAATAGATCTGCGTGGGAACCTAATGTGCGGCAAACTATTTTTTTTATTCCCACTACTTTAAAAAGTCATCAAGGCGTTTTACAAGAGATGATGTTAATCATTAGGCTTTGCCAATTAAGAAAAGGGGAAAGGATGTGAGAGGGAGAATTCAGAAAGCAAGTGAAAGACATTATAAGCTGCACTGCCAAAGCAAACACATGACATGATTAAGCTTCAGAATCATAATCTATAAATTTATGAGAACCACCATTCCCCCCCTACCTTTTGTTGGCAAGTGGAGGACAAGGTTTTGATTACACAGAGAGAAAAACCAAAGCTATATGAGTCCAACCAACCAGCACATGTTCAACACGTAAAAAAATATATGCATATTCAACGCTCCAAAATGTCATTGTCCTGCTACACACAATTTATACGCACATTCATTTCTTCCGAATACTACAAATTTACCGCGGATGGATGACAATATGTTTGACTTTACATGTGACTTTGCAAGCTAAGGGAGTCAAACATGCACCTTTTGGAGGAGGGAATGTAAGCTTAACTACTACATCAAAGCAATTTTCTTGTGAAGGTACAACTATTATTATATTCATTATACATTAATATATAGATATAGTACAACCGGTTCAACCAATAATTCACTAATTAGACCAATGACCTATTAACTCAATACTTTAACTAGATCAACTACCGGTGTGAGTTGAATAACATTTAAAAAAAGGGTACAAGGGACTGCTTATTGACAATAAAATGTTCTACCATATTTGCTTTGCATGGCAGTTTGATTCAGATCATTATATTCTTAACGTATCACTTGTTATTTTAGTGTTTCCTTCAAAAAAAAATTTTTTTTTCTCTTCCTCCATCATATTTATTAATGTTTAGATATACACCACAGGATTTTGGATAGGGGCATTTTGATAATCTAAACACGTTGATAAGAATTGTATAGTTGTGAACATTTCTTCTGAGAATAAAAGATAAGTCAACACCCGGGCTTGCATGGTTTCACTCCAGCTAAAACGAAGTGTTGCTATCTATACAATCTTTTTTTCATGAACTATACACAAAATTGCTAAAATGGCAGTAGCTAAACTCATGAAAACTTTTATGACAAACTCATCCGGCCAAAAGGGCAATTAATTTATTTTTTTTATCCAATTCAATCTAAGAACTATCGAACCCATAATAAAAGCTGCTCTCCAAACACTATTTTGTAAAGCATTTGATCACCCTTTATCTCCCTTCTCTCTATAACTTTGCATTTGCTTTCAATTTCTTGAGAGCCCTTGAACCTAAAAACAAATCTCAGTGTACAAGGCTTCCCTTCTGGTTTCACAGGAGCAACCTTATAAGCTATGTAGCACCGATACTGACACGTGACACAATACGACACAACACTCTGACACGTTAATTCTAAAAAATGTTAGATTTCAACGCGTTAGGACACGCTTTGATATTAAATAATATTTTTAATTTATATAGTGTATATTATATTTAGTATTCAATGAGTTAACAAAAAAATGAAACTAAACTTATAATATTCATCAATTTTGTAAAGAAACATAAGATATCCCAAATATTTATATTAAACTAAATAAAATGGTAATCGAAATCCAACGAATCTAATAGTTGGAACTAAAAACTCAACGCAACGCAACCTTTAAACCTTTTTTTGAATTCTATAACGCTCGGAGAGTGTCGGAGTGTCAGAGAGTGTCAGACACGACATGTCAGGATTTTTGAAGTGTCGGTACTTCATAGCTTATAAGCTCGCCCTCAACCAAAAAGTCTAAAGAATAAAAAAAAAATCAAAATTTAAAAATGGTTGGAATGTGATTTAGTCGACCAAATAGTTCAAGTATTGTTTACACAATAACTACATAAAGGAACAACAACGGCATTTTTAGAAAATCAAAATAACCATATCAAGAAGAATAAATAGCTCCTTAAGTCAATCAAAATTTCTATTTAGATAACCAAAGCTGGAGAGTAAAATCAAACACTGTCAGGATAAACAATCCTCCACCAACAGTTTGAATTCTCCAAAACAGAGATATTACATGCCAAAGCTGACCTGAGATAGCCAGTGACCAACATAGAAGCCTACTTCACATGTAAAAGTGACTTAATAATAATATCGCTCATACCAACAGCATGAGGGAACAAGTGACCAGCACCTTGAAGTTCATGATAGTGAATCCATGGAAGGTTTTGCGCAATGTATCTTTGCAGTGTAACAGGAACCAACAAATCTTCATCTCCTTGCCAAAGATGGACAGAACCTTCATTAGTTGGAAAAGGGTTTTCAAGATCCATAGGATCATATTCCCAGTTTCCAAATCCAACAATTAAGTCACGGTGGACAGTTTCATAATCACCTTGCTGTCTGACCTGTGCCTGTGGAAGTCACATAAAATAAACAATAATAATAAATCTCTACTGAGAATTGAGGTAAGAAATTGATGTTTTAGGGACCTGAAGACCAAAAAGAGTTCCATGACAATACAATATTCCAACTGAAACAAGACATGTTATTAGATATCATGAGAGAAAATATTTAGTTGAAGACAAAACAACTTCGTAATTTTACGCACTCTCTAATAAAATGAGGCTAATCAGAAATCAGATGGTTCAATTAATCAACCAATTCTCAAATGAATCCAGTTCTCATAAAAACTGTTTCTTTATTAGTGGATGAAATTTGTAAGATATCCTTACTAGAAGGGTGCTTATAGAAGTGAAGAGCTGCTTTTGCATGTGTCAGATCACTTTAAATTCAATTACCAAAACGACATGCTAACCAAGCATTATCAAATCAATTAGTGTGCACAAGTACCAAACTGTCTTGCTTCAACAAGAATATACAACAACAAAAGCCTTTTCTCTTTAGGTGGGGTAAGTTATATGAGTCGAATCGAATGGCCATTGTGTTGTGCTTCACAAAGAATATAACATGCATAAAAATTTAGAATTTCCACAACCCTCATTCCAATAGAGCCTTTAAAATTCAATTTATTACTTAAAGATCCATCACAATTCGCAAAACAAACCTTAATACTAATATTCGTGAAAACAATAAGCCTCAAGCAGTTATCCCTGGGATGAGGAGATAAAATTGATAAATACTAGACAATAACACCAAGAAGAATCATTTACTTGCTATGCCGAGCTAACCAAGTCACAGCAGTGCTCTAATATTTTTCTAAATAAAGAGAATGAATAACTGACAGGAGCAATGCATCAAAGGCCTCGAGCATAAACATTTTGCTTATCGGATAGAAATTTGCTTCACAAGATATTTGTCATGCAACCATTGATTCTGCTTTAAATTGGAAGATGTTATAAACAAATTTCAAGTTTCAACAACACTCCATAGTCCATATTCCGTGCTCCCCATGGAAGCAGGACGAGTTTCCATCATATATAAATTTTTATTGATTAAAACATGCCTTAAACTACAGTACAAGGCTAATAGCCCTATCTTCCTTAAGTCAAAAACTAAGACACAAACTTAAAATTTTATAAATCTTTAGCAATGAATTTTCAGGCATTCTTTGCCACAATTGTCCATGAATGAATAAAATGGTCCAAAACAAATACTTATGAAACAGGCATTATCAAGAAGTCTAATCTTTGCCTACAATTGTTGCATCTACTCCGATATTGATACCAACAAAATGCATTAATGATTATTGTTTAAATACTCCAGTCTATTCTGTGTATAATGTATTTTAATATTCACAACTAAATACAAACTATTGTAGATATTAATTTCAATAGTTATGACTGAATTTTTTGTTTTTTTTTATTAGTCTAACATCAAAAACAACAAGATATAGTGTGAGTACCAAGAGTTCAGAAACACAAGAATAGTTGGTGAGAATTGTTCACGACCAACCTCAGAAAATGCAAACACCCACTCACAGCATTAAACAGTTAAAAAAGCTGAAAAACACTTTTTTTATGGTCAAACTCCAAGAGAATATATTCCTCAAACTGAATTTGTGCAGTTGGTGAGTTCTGATCTTTGGCAAAACAATAACCATCAAATTTCAAAATCAAATTTTATTAATTTTACCAATACAAATTATCAGCTAATCATTCACAGATAATGCCTTTTACTGTATTGCATTCAGAAAAAAAATTCACCATTTTGTAACCACCCAAAGGCTGGATACTTACCACATAACTCATTCTATCAGACCTCTTAGACAAAATCTCTTTGTCTTGACGCGAAAGGATATCTGGACTATGAGCGATTATACTCAATGGTGGGAACCATCTTTGAGTGTTCCACCAATATGTTAGCCAAGGTGTGTAGTGAGCAACACGTAATGCCCATTGATCTTGTAGTTTTTGTTGAAAATAGGCTTCGTTAGTCAAGTTTGCAGGAAGACCGGGCCACCAGTAGTTGACAACTGGAGCTAAGAGCACTGCACTTGCCAGTCTGTTAGCATTGAAAAAAATTTATTACTGAGAGATACAAAGAGGGGTTAACAACTGTGTCACACCGCTAACATGCATAGGCAAGCATGCAGATGCATACATAACAAAAGAGCAAATAATGCAAAAAGAAATATTAATGATTTATTTATTTTTGTAAATTGTGTCAACAAAACTATAAATAATCTGAATAAATCATACCTGTGAGGTATGTATTTAAGGCAGTTCCAAACAACCTCTCCACCCATGGAGAAACCAATTACATAGAATTTTGATCCCAATCCCAGCTTATCAGCAAGCTCTTCTATATCTAGGGCTATGCTCTTTAATGTATGATTTGGATCAGGATCACTTTCCCCATAACCAGGTCTGTCAAAAGATACAACGTAGACCCCCAAGTCCTCAACAACATCCTGGAAAGACACACCTTAAATATAAATTATAAAAACTAAAAAGATATCAGAGAATGCTATGAAAGCAAGAAAAATGTAATATAAATAATTACAGGTGATAGGGTTTCGGCAAACACAGCGTCATGCCTGCAACTATCAAAACCATGGACATAGATGATTTTATGCTTGGCTGCATCTCTAGGGACACCATGCTCTTTGTATGCCAAATGCCTTCCATCTCTTAGTTTGACTCTTGCTGCTGTTATAGGCAGTCCATCAGGATCGCCACATATCTTGGGTGGAGGAGGTTGAATAACCTGATAAGCCCATGCTAGAAGCCCAATAAACACCACTGCTAGTGTCGTTCTAAGTATTCCTGAGGGATTGTAATGCCAAATTGAAAAACAGATCAATATAATGTTAAATCATAAATAACAACTTGCAGTCCATAAGTAAAACATAAAAACATCAAAATGCAAATTAATAATTACGGTATTCTCCAACACAGGAAGGATTAGTTATAAATCTCTTATTAAAGCCAACAGGGGTTGCTCAGCTAGTAAGGATCAAAGCAATTCACTTAAAAGGCTTAGGTTTGATTCCTTCAACCATCAATCCCCCTTGGCAGGTGATTTGTAAATACCATCATAAGCGCTCTCTGAGACTTGTGGCATACTGATGGGCCTGAAAAGAGTTAGTTAGTTAGGGGATTTTTCTAGAATATTCTCAGAGTATAGGATAAAAGGAGGGGGAATGGGTGGAGTGGGGTATGCACGAATTGAGTGAATATTGTGGACTCGGGGAACTCTTAGAGCCTAGGTGTTTTGGTTCTAAGGGTGAGCTAGGGGTCTTTTGGTGTATTATTTTGCAATTAGTGTTTGTAAAGAGCTTGTCTCCATTACTGTTTCCTTCAATTTACAGTAAATAAAATTGGGTTCCATCACGTACTTTGTCTTGAAATGGGATACCTCCCCTCTCCTAAACTTTTGCTTACTTATAAATAAATAAATAAATCTCTTTCTAAAGAAGAAAAAACACAAACAAGATAAAAGGTGATAACTCTACCTACAAGGCTACAAATAATAATTGCCATAAAGATAAGGGGAGAGGGATATCATAATTCCTAACCAACATATGGTGATTGTGCAAGCCATTCCCATTACTCTTGAATTGAAACATACAAGACAGTTCATTTTATGAGTCCAAACAAAAACACATGTATCTGTCTTATACTACACTACTAGACAACTCTTCATCCTAATTAAAATAAATATATAAAATAAAATAAAAAAACTCAGGGAAAAGTTCCCCAAGTTTCTTTGGTTCTCATTTAATAAAACTAAACAAAAATGGGTGGGGATTATAACCTCAATTCTAAAGTTGCAGCATGACCCAGAAAATTATATAACTAGACATGCGATTAAAACGATGTAAAAAACGAAACTTTGATGAAGAAAGATGAAAAGAGAGTGGAAAAGTGAAGACCCACCTGAAGGGAGCTGAAAAGAGTTGTTTTTCTTTGCCCTCCTTGTATGAGCCCTGGCTGATGCAGCAGAAACTTTTCTGTTAACTCCGGTGGCCATTGATAGAGTCAGAGAAGAGAAGAAAAAGACCCACAAACAGAACAGAATTATGGAAAAGTGAAAGCAGAGAAAGAGATCTAAAGAACTGGGGGAGGGTCTGGTAAGAGGTAGATTAGATAGATACTGCTATGTAGACTTTGAACATGGCGATGCCGATGAGAAATGACTACGCGCGCGTGCAATTACTTTGTTCCAATAACATGGTCAAAACGTCCTCGTTTTCTAGCTTCTCCAATCTCTCGTGTGAAAAACTCTAGATAACTTGTAATTATGATGAACCCATATAGTGACATTTTGTATTCTTTAACGAGTGATGACAAAATAATTTTAAGAAACTAAAGGGGTAAGATTAGTGAAAGGGAAAGAAAGATAACTTTAGCTTAGTCTTTTTAAATATAAAAATTCACATCACACTTGATCTATTTGTTGATTTTTTAGATCCTATATAATTTGTCATTTCATTATCACTAATTGAAGTGGTAAGAGATTGTTCTTTATAATTAGAGGGTTTAAATTCTACAAATAGAAGAAAATGGTATTGGGAAAGTTTATTTCAATACTAAGAGCTTGCTTGATTCAATTTTTTTAAAATTTGGAAGTTACTTTTAAGTTTAAGTTAAAGAAGTACTTAAAAATCAAATTTCTTAACTAGAGGTCTCCCGTTCGAGCTCTAAGAATTAAAAAAAAAGAATTTGGGAAAGCCGCTCCTAGAAGGACAATGCTCGATGGAGATTAATCTTCGATTACGGCCGGAGGATACCCTTGAGATTACTCAAAAAAAAAAGAGGTTAAAAAATAAATCAAAAGATTTTTGTGATTATATAAACTTTTTAACTTGAAAGTTATTTTAAAGATCTAGCTAAAGCTTACCACACACAAAAAGTTTAAAGATAAGTTAATGTTAAATTAACTTCGATAAGCTATGTTTCTAATTAAAATTATAATAAAAAATATTAGAAACCTCTATTATTTAGATAAGCATTAATATGATAAAAAAAAATAGATTTTAAAGAAGAAAATAGATTCGATAATGAAAAAAAATTGTTATTACGAGAGAGCTTCATCCAAAAAGAATTTTACTCAAAAAACTTATAATTAGTAAGAACATGCATGGCATAAAAAAATAATTATTATCCTTTATTAGATTTTGTTGTCAACCGCTATTATGCGAAAAATGTAAAACCCAGTGTTATTAAACCCGACCCGACCGGGGTATTGGATAACTGGTCAGACTGGTGGGTATAAATATGAACATATAAATTTAATTATATTCTTATATCTAAAATGAGTTAAACAAGGTTTACTACATAAGCTCAAAAATTACCCAATCACACTTTTATAAGTTCATAAAATACATATAAATTAAAATGCACACTATTACTATGTCAATTTAAATTACAACTTAGAATCTCCATAAGCATACCTCTCAATGACATTCAAAAGGCCAGATGTTGTGAACTCATATTTTTTAAATTCATCTACATTGAAATGACATATGTCACATTCTCTTAATTTATTGTTTCACAAATTGTTTCAGTATTGAAAGCTGAAATTTGAGGTCATTGTAGAAGAGTATACTACTACAAATACAATTACAAAAAAATTTAAAATGAGTTCTACATTTTTTCTAACAAGATGAAATAATTTTGATTTTTTTAATTATAAAAATGCATAACCCTACCGGTTCACCGATTTTGGGCTGGTTTGGCCAGGTTTTGACCGGGTCTGATGCATGGCCAATCCGATTACTGATTTTCTGGATTTCAGGTCAGGTCGGGTTTCATAACACTGGTTAAACTTGTATTCTTTGGCGTATATGAGGTTTTGAACCCTCTACTTATTTTTTTTTATTTAATACAAATTATGACCTGACATACTAACTTGAGATGAATTAACTACAACCTAGCGTGCAAAATCTCCTTTTGGGAAAAACACTCTCTTGGATTCTTAGTGTTTTGGAGGAGATAAGAAGATGAAATGATTTGTCATCAAGGTAGACGGTAAAATTTGTTAATAGAAATTTAGAGAATAAGGATATAATTGAAATATAAATATAAGGACTCCGAAAAAATTAAGCTTCTAGCTTTTTCATTTTTTATTCATTACAAGAAGAAAAAAAACTCTTTTATGATAATAGTTTTTAAAGAAATATGTTGGCTATGCTTAATCTTTTAAGGAAAAAATAAGTTAAAAAGAAGACCCGGCAAATAGGTACTAAATAGTGCTTAAACTTGATTAAATCGACTAAGATAAAAAAAGTGTTAAATGGACAATAAATATGACTATATTGTTGGGAATGTGGCTTCCATACTCAAGAAGAAGGTGAATTGAGTATTACAAAATTTTCGCAAAATTCCCCTTTCGAGTTTTTAAGTTATCATTTCAAGTAAACTTTAATATATGAAAAGTTAATCAATACATTCAAACAATCCATAACATATAATATATCATAATTATAAAGCCTATGCTAGCACATACAAGTTATAAAAGAAGCAATTAAAGTGCTAGAAATAAAGAGAGAGGGTTTAAAAAAATCCAAACTCAATATATCCTGGTTCGGTCACTACCACTTGTGACCTACGTCCAGACTAAAGTCGATCGATCAATTCTTTCACTATTCGTCAAGCTTCTCAGGTGCTTGACAAACCTCTATAACCTTCCAAGACTTTGGGCTCTTGAATGCCTTTCACTCCAAATTTACTTAGGTATTTTGGTACCTCTCAAATACAATGGGTCTCACAACCTTCTCAACTCAAGAATACAAAGGAGGAAGTGTTTGAAAATAAATATACACTCTCAAAGTGTGGATATACAACTTGAAGCACTATGGGTATATGGATTTTCATAATATGAGTTCAAATATGTTTGATCTTTGAAAGATACGAAAGAATATGCAAATGATAGTGTAGAGACTCTCGAAACATGCTTAAGATGTGTAAAAATGATGCCTTAAATGTTTTAGAGCTATTGGGAATGCATATATATTGTTTCCATTGAAAACTAGCCATTTATAGTCATTATGTGCATTCTGGACAGTAAGGATTCGAATCATTTCGTAAGGGATTCGAATCCTTGCTTCTAGGAACAAGGGATTCGAATCTCTTTGTGAAGGATTCGAATCCTCCCCTAATAACAAGACGTATTTTGGCATAACTTGAGTTATACTTTTCGGATTGATGCGATCTTAGTCTCGTTGGAAAGATAAAAGAGAGATCTACAACTTATATGAAGAACACAAGATCAAAATCCATAATCTTCAATATGAAAGGTTGTCTGGAAGATAATAGCAAAATTATGCAGCAAGACAGAAACAAGTTTTGTATTTTGGGCATAACTTGGGTTAGTTTTGTCGTATTGATGTGATCTTGGTCTCTCTATAAAGACAAAAGAAATATCTACAACTTCTATGAAGAACACAAGATCCAAATCCATCATATTTGGTATGAAAAATTGTTCGAAAGACAATAATCAAATTATGCAACAAATTTTAAGTTCAAATATGTTCTAACTTGCTTCCAACCATTTTTCGTGAAAGATATTGACTTGATAAATATGTTTTGAAGTTATAAAACATGTCAATGATCTTTTCCATGGGTTTTTATAAAAGTTATGAATTATGTAATTTGACTAACACGTTTATTTTGAGAAAAATTTTGAGTTCATGCAATGCAATCTACCATATACCTTTACAATCATATCTAAGTCCTAAAAGTGTAATCTAATAGGAACAAGGACTTAGCTTCTTATGTTGATTCTTGGATCTTGATCCTCACTAGAACTTGGTACTTGACTTGTTGGTTTTGATCCTTTTCTTTTCTTCAAGATTGTCCATTGTTTTGTTGCCTTTGTTATTGATTTTGCTCTTCTTATTCTTCCTTCTTTCTCTTGATCCATTTCTATCTTTCTTCATAGCTCATCTATGTTCTTGCCACTTTAATATCTCTTGATCCAATCATGTATCTTCAATCTTCACACATGGTTGATGTTTATTGCTCTTGATTAATGCTCTTCTCTTTTTGTTTGCCATCAAAACATACCTCGTATCTACATATATCACATGAAAAATTTCAATTATTTATTTATTGGTCAATGACTAGCAATTATAATAATTTGTAAAAATATTTCCTTTGAAAATTTTCTAAAACACAAATCTTTAATAAAACCCTAAATTGACTTAAATCAAGATCTTTAAGTGCACTCAAATTAAAATCCATAATCAACTAGAAGCCACATTATTCAGCTAGTACTTATATCTTCCATCACATGAAACCTCCAAAATCCTAGCAAGTTAGAAGCTCAATTAAATCCTACAAAAAATAGTTCTTGATCTGGACCCATACTAAGCGGGATAAAGGGTCCAACCCATTTATAGCCCAAGATGCCCAATAACAAAACTTAAAGAGTAAGATAACCCATTCATCCTGCATATACGCCATCATGTAAGCATATAACTATAACAACACAACTCAAAGCTCCTAAGCCTCCTCAACAACCAATGGCTAAAGGATAGACACATGATTTCAGCTATGCCTAAGAGGTATAGCCCATAAATAGGCATCTTGCAAATAAGATAGGTCGTAAAAGCCACTTGAATCCATCAATAAGATTAATGTCGCCATACTAAGACGACTTAAGCAGGTCATCTTATCACTATATAAAGAAGATTTAAAACCCAAGTATGATTATCTTCTCCATTATAACTTAAGCTTATTGATCAAATATTGACTTGAGCATTAGAGTGCCTTGCAGATACATCCTTCATTTGTCCTTGTCAAGCAAAAACCTCAAGTACTAGTTAAATCATCCCATAGTAGTCATCAAAGTCCATCTCGTTGCAAATTCATGCTAGATTTCAACTGGAACAGACTCAACCGTGTGTGGTCAAACCCAACATCTCTTTGACTGGTCATTGGCGTCGTCTGTGGGGAATATAAACTTTTATTCTCACTCCAAAGAATTTAAAAGCATGGTTGATACAAGGAGCTAGATGTCCAAATCCCTAAATAGATCCCAAAACTGCCTTCTAAGCCAAAGAAGAGTGTTTGTAACCTCATCCTCACCACCTCAAACGGCCAAGCTCCCTACCAACAACTAATGGCCACTAACATCCAAATTCTTGATACCCTCAAGCAACAAAACCTTAGGCTAGAGAACCAAGAACGTGAGTAGTTGGAGTTTAAGAAACT